TAGTTAAAAAAAAATAACAAGAATTTAAAAAGTGGTGTCTGGATGTATTTCATGGGAGTCTTTACATATTAACGTTGCATGCACAGATTAAAAAAGGTCAGACTCGATGTTTAGATCACACATTCAAAATCCACACTATACTGAGAAGCTTATTGTGAAATAGTAGATAATTCACCTCCACCCTCAGAAAACAAGTCTTTCACCAAGTTTGACTGAGTCCTCTTTGAATTCTCTTTCAACACACTCACAATCATCAGATTCATCCGCCTGGAGACCAAAGCACAACCCATGTTTCTAAATGTTCTTCTGCACATTGGGTGCAATTACACTTTTCCACCAGAGGGGACCCCCAAATCTTACACAGGGCAGCTTTAAACTGTTAAGATCCACACCACAGATATACACACCTAGATGTTGCTTTGTCTATCATTCTCTATCTGAAGCAATACGTCTGCACGGCCGCCATGTTGGAGAGGTCAAGATCTGCTTGTGAACAAATTCACTTGTATTGAGAGACGATGAGTCTCAGGATTAAATCAGCCACAACTTCCGTATTACTCAACCGATTTTCACCACATTTGTTTTGTTATAATCCTCAGACACAGATTAATCTGGGCTGCACAGATCTGCTCTCGGTAGCTTTCATTTCTTTAATAACTGATCGTGATAATTAGCCGTCCAGACCAACAGGAAAGTATTCAGTCTGCACCTGATGTTAAAAACCGAGTTTAGCGTGAGAAACACAATCAGCAAATCCATCAATGTGTGAATCACTTGTAATCTTAATACACATAAAAATATGCCTGCACCATTTAAGGTGGAACGGGAAAACTCGAACAAGAAGCTGGCAAATAAGAAGCTGACTTCAGGCTTGTGTAAGAAGGTTCTAACGTTAATCTATTATGAGTATCTACACAGATTAAGGAATGCTGTAACTACAAGCTTTAACCATCATTATAAATAAATAACTACTACATAAAGTTAAGATCCTGAATAGACTATTAAATGAAATAAGCTGAATATAAAACCAGAGGAAAAACAATCACATCAACAGGTTCTCTGTGCTTCACCAACCACACGGCCATATCTACACAAACATCACACAGACAATACGCATCACACAGACATGAGTGTGGATCACTGCGTTCCCTCTGTTATATAATCCTGTCACACTTTCTGAGTGTGATATTCCTGAAATTGTGTAATTTTGGACAGTATCTTTCTTAAACTGCCGCTCTGTAATGGTACTGAATGCAGTCCAGCAGCGATGTTGACCGCCCCAAAATGGCAGCGCAGTTGATGTTCCTGGCTGGACCCAATGCAGCATCTAGGTACTTATATCTATGATTCAAACATGGTCTTTCAGAGTGGTTAGACAGAAAAGGTGTCAATCTAGAGAAATTTACCAAATCAGAACTTTTCACAGTGGTAATGATAGGAACCAGACGTCTGAACCTAACGCCTCTGAAAGCTACATCACATAAAGTTATTGCATTTAATGGTTACAAATACATTTTCTGATGCCGAAACACTGCCTTACAGTAGTGTTGACATTACATAAGCTTTTGGCCTAAAACCTATTTTTAAAATGAATTAATTGTAGGGAGGTAGCAGGACAAAAAATATCCAAAAAACTTCTACAGTTTTTTTTTGCACATTAATAACAATTGTTCACTTTAATCAATTAATTATTTATTAACTAATTAATCAAGTCAGGTCAAGTCAAAGTTTATTTATATAGCTCTTTTTACAGCAGGTGTTGTCACAAAGCAGCTTTACAGAAAAACCTGGGTCTGAGCTCCCATGAGCGTCGCCAATGGCGAGAGTGGCAAGAAAAAACTCCCTAAGAGCAAGAGAAAGAAACACTGAGAGGAACCAAGACTCAAAAGGGGAACCCATCCTCCTCTGGTCGACACCGGATAGCAAACAGCATTAGAATAAAATATTAGAATACAAAACGGGGAAAAACAGGCAGAGCAACGGTTAATTAGATAGTTTGAGTTTATGCAGCAGCAGCAGGAGGGTCAGTTCATGTAGGTGAGGTTTGCACAGCTTTGTACAGCATGAAGCTCCATAGTGGTCAAGACAATCAATCAATCACTTTATCAACATCACATATAAAACTCTCAAGAAACATGTAGGTTCACTGTTCATTCAGGATAAAAATAGATATATTTGCATTGCAGACATGGCAACCCCTGGTTCCTATCCTTCTCATGGTGTCTACTGGCACTTGAATCAGTACGTTTCTCTACAATGCACCATTCAACATCAAAACACTCTGAAAGACTTTGTTTTGAAAAGACTAAATTATGCAGAAATTAAAAAAAGGGGGGAATTCTTATTCTTCAAAAAAAATAGCCACGTTTACATGCAGCCTAATAATCCGTTAATAATCCGACTAATAGCTCATGTGGAATAGAATACGTTCATGTAAACACCTCAATCAGAATAGTCTAGTCTGATTGAGGCCATTCAGAATAAGTTTCTATCTGATTGATCGAGGTGGGTAATCCTGTAAATAATCCGTTAAATAGAAGAATAATATCCGTGTAAACGCCTGTATCTGATTACATTCCCTATCGGAAAGTTTAAGTCCGTTCTGATCATGTTCGTCGTGTCATAGTGAAAGTTTATACCGTTCAACATGGCGGAGCAGAAACTGGTCTGCAGAGGAGACGAAGTTTATGCTCTGATCTTTAAAAGACGGCGGTGGGACGGACGTCCAGCTTATGTGTCTCAGAACACGACGTCGTCCTCTCGGCCTTCTTTAATAAGGACATGTGAAGGACGTTTTCCTGAGTCTGACATCATTTTAAAGTAATTGAAAACACAAGCGCTGCTCACTGCTGCTCATCTCACTCTGACTGGGCTCACATGATGCTGGTTGTCATGGTAACGTCTGCTAAGCGGTTCTCTACACCCACGCGTCATTTTGGATCTGATAACTCGTAGTGAGCATGTAAACAGAGATTTTCCATCAGATTGTTGAGTACAGTGAGATTTAAACACTTCAGTCTTAATCTATAATTGGAATAAATTCAATCAGATTGGCAAAAATCTCCACACAGCCACTGCCCACCTCCACATTTCATTACAAACAGAGTATAATTAGGCCTGGATGCAGTGCAGGGCAGTATGTAAAATGCTGAATAAATAAATGCTGTATAAATGTTGTGTTCATCGTTTTTGGTGGTGTTTTTAAATGTGGCACCACTGGGTCTTTTTTAATTTCCAACATTAAACCTCCAAAAACTTAACACTGCGATGCACACTGTGTATCGAGAACATGTCTTGAAGTACCGTTATATATTTTTGCCATTTTGCCCATCTGTAGTCCATTAAATCTTTCCTCTAATGAAATTAATCACTGGCTTATTTTACAGAATTGTCTGGGTTTGGGTGCCTCTGTTAATCTGCCTTCCAAACAAAGACACAAAAATTCCTATATACGTTACAAGACAGAGCAGCTCTACGTTTGAGCCTTAGTTCCTCTCTGTGTATCTTCCTATTGATCTTAGGCGTTTTTCTGTCACTGTCACCAATGGCACTGTAGAAATAAACCTACTTATATTTACTCTTTTTATCTGAATGATTTGTCTTAAGGGTGAGACAGTGAACATGTGTACATGCACTCAATCCGATTATTCAAATGGTCATGTAACTCTTACTCTGATTTCTTTCGGATTTCTCAGTCTGTGAATTGCGAGATCAGACGGTGGATGTCGCGAGACGCAGCAAAACACTTTTGGAGAGGCGCTGAAACCAAACACGAAATAAAGGATTTAAATATTCTTCATCTTCTAGATCAGAGGGCACTAATAGGCGGACTGTGGTCCGAGTCTGGACACAGGTCGGGACTCTGTCGGACCTGGACCTATTGCCAATGAACTATGAATTATTTAATTTTGCTTAAGAATATTTTCCATAACTGGACCTTATAGCATTTTAATTAAAGAACCCTGTTCTAGATGATGCATGTTCATATTTTCAGGTAAAGTGGTGCGAAGTTTAAAAAAAAAACGTGTCATGAAGTCATGACAGTATGTTTACATCACGTTTTCTTCCATGAGTTCATTGGCTGCTTGCAGAGCAGAAATCTGATTACTGTCTGACTCATGTAGACCAGGAGTTTCCCCATTATCTGATTACTCAAGAGCATGTAAACATGTTGATCGGATTCCTGACAGAATCTGATTTTCTGCAGTTATAGGATTATTGGGTGCATGTAAACAAGCTCAGTGTCTAAAGTGCCCCTAATGTCACTTCCACCTACAACTATTTCTCCATACAAACGTCTGGACTGAAATGTACATATGTACATAAAGAGCAGTTACAATCCAGCGAGCCTGTGTATTTATTACACATGGAGCTTTTGGAACAGATGTGCCAGAAAAGAACACAAGAACACAACAACTTTATTGCTGGTGCGCATCCAGCGCTGTTTCTATTAAAAATCGTTGTAAAAGCGAAGAAAAACGAGCCGTTTATGTGGAAAACATGAGTCATTAGCGCGTAGACGGACAAAACATCGGTCTCGCCAGTCATGCGGTTACGCGCATGCGCGCTTCCGGACACTGGCACCTGACATGACCTACATATGCTCGTATGAGTAAACACGAGAAAGACGCTTACTTAGGAACAATATAAGCCCCGTTATCTGTACAGATAGACCCCGTGTTAGTGCTTGGGCCGTTGGATGTGAGCTGAGGATGGTGATGTGCTGTGTACCTCACCACACAGTGAGCCCAGCGAGCCACAGATGTGCTTCACAGGGAAAAGGTCTGTCCGTAATTCAGGCAGGTGAAGTCGTGTAAACGTGCGTTCAACTGTCTGGAAGGCTAATCAGTGTCGGGCTGTATCAGCGTGGCTGCTGATGCTGCTGCTGCTGCTGATGCTGCTGATGCTGCTGCTGCAGTGTGGCCTGCCTGTCTCCTCACCCAGCCTACGAGAAGCTCCTCACATAAACAGCCAGCACTGTTTGTTTGTGTTGCACTTACCAAGTCTATGAACGTTAGAAACTTCCAGCTCCCGCCGTATGTTTGGTGCGCGGGCATGTCTATGGCTTTGTAATTGCAGATGATGGAGAAGTAGGACAGGAGGATCGCTACTCTGAGGATTTGGGAAGGGATGAGCGCCATCTTCCCCCGCCGCCGCGTTTCCGTCCCGGGAAAAATGCTGCGGACCCGCCGAGGCTGCGAGGAGCAGGAGGAGGAGGAGGAGGAGGAGGAGGAGGAGGATGCTAAAGGTGGTGCCGTAAGAGACGTGCGGGAGGATGTCGCTATAGTAACGGCGCAGTTGACGTTGCCTGCGCTACGAAAGTGCACTACTATAATCTCGCGAGGTTTGCCGCGTGGCCTTCATTCAATAGGCCTTGAAAAGGGAACCCAAACAAAAGATTATCTTTTCTTTATCGCAGGGGAAATAAAGCAGACTTGAATATTGGATTATTGAAGGATTACAGATTTCTGAATTTTATAACCCCTTTCAGGAGGAGAGAGGAGATTTGGGGGAGGCGGAGGATGGTTACAACAAGGCTCATTCCTCCAATCAGAAACATGCTAGAGTGATGACACCATAGGATATGGATGACACTCATACTGAACTTGCTCAGTTACACCCCATTCTCTTTGGAGTTATGAAAGTTATTTTTGTCATACTGTCCTGAACTTTTGTATGATTTAATTAATATAAACCTACTTGTTTTACTTAGTTTGAAAAAGTTTATTGCAATTGTCCCCAAACCATATCAAAAATAGGCCACACAACAGAATTTTTTTAACATTTTAGTTCAGCAAAGGCACAATTTATCTTTTTTATTGCTTGTGACGAACATTACCTAATCCGCTTATCCTCTTGTGTTGCAGGGGGTGCCAGAGTCTGTCCCAGCAGTGACTGGGCGGAAGGCAGGAGACAACCTTGACAGGTCACCAGTCCACTTATGATGAGAACAGGCAAATTTATTATTATTATTATTATTATTATTGTTGTTGTTGTTGTTGTTGTTATGTGTGTGCATGTGTGTTGAGGGGTGTTATGCAGTGAATAAATAATCTAAAACTAGTTACAAATTGTATTGTGTTTGTTTTCAGTAGGCTATGCCACAAGTGAGGAATTTGGGTCAATATTTTGGAATGAGCCTCAAATGTAACCAGGGATGAGGGCAGGACAGTCAGGGCAGTGATATTACTTAGTAAATAATTAAATAATACTATAATATCATTGTACAAATAAATAATACTATGATATTATTGTAAAACGCTGCATATTTTCAATGCTTATTGAGACAAAAAGCAAAAGTTAAATAGTGAAGTCTAATGTATTTCACATGTTTTTAACATGTTATTATATTTACCGTCCCTGATCCGTGTTGCAGCTGTCCCCAGGGTTGGGGTTAGTTGCAACATCTTACTTCTTTCATTTAAATAAATATTGTGAATGTATGTATCATATGTAATCATATTTAAATGGTGTGCATAAATAGCAGTCAAACATAAGTTTAATATATAAAAAAAAATTGGGTGGGCTGGTCCAAATAGTCACTGAGTAACTGAGAGAAATGCAAAAAAGTGTTGCAACACTTTTGTTTAGAGACGTCTGTATAGAGAAATTCTAATGGAAATGATGAAATCATAAACTTTTTCTTATTTTAATCTTATTCAGCAGAGACTGGAGTGAAATGAGTCATAAAACTCATTCTGTGAGACAATATTTTGATCAAAGTGTATTTTCTCAGGACCCATGTGTATATATATATATATATATATATATATATATATATATTAGTATATCAATATATTATTAAAATATTATTAATTACCTAGTTTCATATATACTTTTTCCTACAAACCACCAAAATTATGATTTTGTATTTTGTATGATTTTGACACAGCAGAATGGTAAAAGGCGAAAAAGAAAAAAACGAAAGCACAAATCACTCCTTCTTATGTCAGTTTGGGGAAACTTTAGAAGGTAACTGAAACATATAAAATTGCAGAAATGTTTTATTTTTACACATTTTAGAAAACAACTGTGCAGGGCCAGTAACAGTTTGTTGACAGTGCTTTTATAATCTGTGACATGCCCAAATGGGTTATTTATCCCAAGCAAAATACCAAGGAAATATCAATTATTGCTAATGTTAACCTGCTAACTAGCTACTTAGTGAGCTAGTAAACTAGCCAGTTAAACATGACATGGCCAAATTAGCTGAGAAGCTACTTAAGGCACGTCCATGCAAACTGATCTAAGGTAAGCCAGCAAACCTTAACTATCAATTAGTACCATATTTAAAACATAGACCATTAAAACACACACAAACATCATTAATAAACATGAGCTTACTAGCTCACAACCACTACTCCACACAACCAATGCAAACTTAAAGATACGCTACTCCAACAGAATATTCTCGAAGGCGAAGTGACTGTTTACCTTCATCGCAATTAACGTTCTGCCTCACCTGAATACTGACCACTTTCACCTGTCCTTTATTATGGTTACCTGATAGTTTTGTATATAAGCCCAGGCTTTAGCTTAGTTCAGTGCTATTGCCTTTGTTATCAAAGCCTTACTGTGCCTTCTATTTCTCTGTTTGCCATTTTGTGTATGAACCCTGCTTTGTTTTTGGCGTATTGGTTTTTGACCTTGGACTGGCTGACTTTGATTACAGATACTCCCTATGTTAATAAACCCTTTTTACCTATGTGTGGTCTGGGAACAAAAAATATATACACCGATCAGGCATAACATTCTGACCACCTCCTTGTTTCTACGCTCATTGTCCATTTTATCAGCTCCACTTACTATATAGGTGCACTTTGTAGTTCTACAGTTACAGACTGTAGTCCATCTGTTTCTCTGATACTTTGTTAGCCCCCTTTTACCCTGTTGTTCAGTGGTCAGGACCCCCATGGACCCTCACAGAGCAGGTACTATTTGGGTGGTGGATCATTCTCAGCACTGCAGTAACACTGATGTGGTGGTGGTGTGTTAGTGTGTGTTGTGCTGGTACGAGTGGATCAGACACAGCAGTGCTGCTGGAGTTTTTAAACACCTCAGTGTCACTGCTGGACTGAGAATAGTCCACCAACCAAAAACATCCAGCCAACAGTGTCCTGTGGGCAGCGTCCTGTGACCACTGATGAAGGACTAGAGGATGACTGACACAAACTGTGCAGATGAGCTATCGTCTCTGACTTTACATCTACAAGGTGGACTGACAAGGTAGGAGTGTTTAACAGAGTGGACAGTGAGTGGACACTCCAGCAGCACTGCTGTGTCTGATCCACTCAGACCAGCGCAACACAGACTAACACACCACCAACACATCAGTGTTACTGCAGTGCTGAGAATGATCCACCACCCAAATAGTACCTGCTCTGTGAGGGTCCATGGGGGTCCTGACCACTGAAGAACAGGGTAAAAGGGGGCTAACAAAGTATCAGAGAAACAGATGGACTACAGTCTGTAACTGTAGAACTACAAAGTGCACCTATATAGTAAGTGGAGCTGATAAAATGGACAATGAGCGTAGAAACAAGGAGGTGGTCATAATGTTATGACTGATCTGAGTATATTTTTCATTGAAAGTAATGACTAATCTATAACTTTTAATATGTGTGCTTAATTGTTAGGTAGGTGGCTTACATCCGAGGCAAATCCAGTAGAAGTGGAGTGTGTTAATGCAGAGTAATGTCCAGCCAACGTTTTAGTCAAAGTTTTTTTTTAATTCATAGTGATCATGTTATTATGATATATTGGTGCTGTTTTGGTTAAATTTGAGTGGAGTCATGGAATCGACTCCAGTGGCAGGAGTCTGAGATCTGTATTTTGTCGCTTTTCTTTTTTACCACCTCTAATTCTGATTGTTTTACAACATGTTTCAGATGGAAGGCTGCAAATATTGAAAGGGGGACTTTAATGACCTCCAGAATGAAACAGCTCCTGCATGCATTTCCTAAAATTGCACAACACAGCAAGCTTTTATGAGTTTTCTGACATGATCACACTTCTCTCATATCTTTTATTGTTTCTTTAACAAATAAATGGACAAATCAAAGAGCTTTGGAAGGAGTGACAATGACACATGGGCATCCAAGATACACTGTGCTTTCAGTAGCATTACAAGACTATGAAACGGCTGAGCTGCACAAAACATAGCTTAACATAACTCATCAGAGACATTCTCCAGCTTTTTCCCTTGTCATTTTGTAGCACAGCATTAACGTGATCTATAATTGCCCTTTTGAGATCACCACATTTTGGAAGATGTCAGGCAGCGGCAGCTAAACTGTGCCCTTCGTTATAATCAGTGTCGTGTCATGATAAGACTGACAAAGAGATTTATGCTCTGGAAAATCCCTTCACACTGTCAGACACACAGGTCCCTATCCCTGCGAATAAGAGGCCAGAGAAGTGGGGATTACAGGGTTCTGACCTGCACTTCACTAAGTCAGTGATGGAAGGCCAATTTGACTCCACTGCAACCAGGGCGCTGTGCTTGTTTCAGCCAAACCCTTGTGGCATATCCCAGGGTTTCAGTCACGTGATTTTTCTGTTGTGGCTGCTACATTTGGAACTGAATTTCTGGCCTTGCTGCTCCGCATGAGCGTAACTAGAGGTGAAAGATGGCTAAAATTACTCTTATTAATTTGGAAAGGAAAAACGTTTCCTCAACCAAGTCGATGTGATCCTTATACAGTTTCCTCTGAACTCCTGGTTCCACTTAAACTGGCGGAAAAGCTACCAAATCTGTGTTTCCTGACGTCTATATTTATCTCATACTCAGCCCCTCCCCCTAATCTGGAGAGTCGCTCACAGTATTTAAAAGCACAGAAGCCCACCGGCTCCTCACGTCAGTGGGTCCATGTCGTGGGTCAGAAAACTACGTCGTATTTCGTCAGACGTGATTCTGTAAGTTTACTAGTGCAGTTAGTTCAGAGTTCAGCTCCAGTCCTGAAACCCCTGCACTGCATACCTGTGGTTTCCTGGTTAAAATACCTGATATTATTAGCTAATTAATCCCTTCTTGAGCTGAACGAGGTGAGAACAGCAGAGAGAAACACTAAACTGTACAGTGCAGCGGCTCCAAACCTGGAGTGAAAACACTGAATTAAAGGTTTGTGTGTCTCTCAGCTTCTGTCGCGTCTTGTAGGAAAATCAT